CCAGTCTTCTTATCACACTAAAGAAAATCAGATGAATATATTTCTCTAGAAGCTTCATAACCTTAAGAAGCTCGCAAATGGTTGTGATTGGTTTTTCGTTTATAAACGGTTTATCGAGACTTTTATCAATTACGTAATAGTTAATTGAAGGAAGGAAGCATTTTCCAAAGTGATCTCAACTGGTAGCTAGGAGAGCTGTCAGGGTTCGTCATAATGTAGATAGTTGGCAAACATTTAGGACCATTTACAGGCATTACTATAAACTTCACCTCGTAATAGCAGCCGAAATGTCTATATTGTATCGACTGCTGGCTAAAGTCGCTCATATTTAACCGGGCATCTAGTTTAGATATGTTATGCAGATTTGCAGATATCAAGAGAAAGCTGATGAAACCTTAGGCTTTATCGCAGTCTCCTTTCTCTGTGTGGACTTAGCATGACCTTATTTTTGTTTTTTCAGTGGGTTTTTTTTACTATCAATAGATCATATACATGTGATGTATTCACCTATTTTGTTTAAGGTGATAAGGGGACTTATAGTCGAACTTTCCCACAATTATAATAATAGACTTTGCGTTTATATAGAATTTCACGCAGCCTTGATTCCAAAAAGACATTTTATCCCGGCTGGGGCGGATAGCAGTTTCCACCTCGCCTGGTTATCATCACTACCCGAAGTGGGGCCCGAACCTGAGTCCTGTTTATTCAGCATACAGTTCTGACACACTAACCACTTCGTCACACTGCCACGACTATCCTTTGATTGCGGGGCATCTGTGAACCCGCCATCTCACATTCTGTGGTGGGAGTGTCAATGAAGCAAAGTTGTATTTGCTTTAATAATTGATTGTATTGCTTATTTTTCGTTTATAAGTAGGTTTTAGAGAAAATCTTTGGGAAAGCAATGCTTTGTAAAATTAACTGGAAACGTAAACTCTACTTATATGTTTATGGGAAAATTCAACTACCAGTCCATCTATCAACTTAAACCAAATAAGTTAAGTACACTGCATATAGTTATTATCTGTATCATTATATGGAAATATCTGTCCAATACGGTCTAATATCCCTTCTTGCAATATGCTAGCCATTGCAACAAAACTTACCTCTTTGCTAGCAGACAGAATCGGCATGGTCGTGAAAAGTTTCTTGGGATTCACCATGTTACCGGACTTTTTGCGATGACTTTCATTTGGCGTCAATGTGCCTGGTGAAGAGATTACGTCGTCGAGACCACCATAAGACGACAATGGATTCATGTTGCTATACGTTTGTTTCACATTCCTTTGGGGTTCAGGTTAACAGGTCAACAAGACAGCCCACTTCGCTTCCTGAGAAGATGGTTTGAGTCTTCGTCTGTCATGAAACTTGACAGGCATCATTAAAACTTTGCGTTTATAAGTAGGCTTTCGAGACTACTAGTCCTCTTATCATCACAAATAAACTAGTATGCATATATCTCATTAGCATTAAAGCTTGTTTGGCACCGTTAGACTGTTAGTAAAAATTTAAAGCAACACTAAGTCAAGAACACTAATCGGCTTTACCTTAAATGTTAGATTTAC